CTTCGGTTTCCGTTTCATATAGAACTTGGCTATCAAAACTTATGAAGTTTCAGAATTTTCTATTTCAGTATAAATTCCACTTTATGCAGTCTCCGTTTTAAATAGAATATCTGTCCTTAAATTTTTACAAAAATTTAATCTTAAATTCACTTAAAATAAGAATATATCCAATTTAGAACCGAGGGTCTGTTTAGAAGAAATTTGGGTCCCTTAACGGACCCTTCACAAAATATCTTTTCATAAAAAACGGACCCTTCACAAAATATCTTTTCATAAAAAACGGACCCTTCACAAAATATTTTAACTTAAAAACGGACCCTTCACAAAATAATTTATCTTTTAATCGGACCCTTCACAAAATTGTTGATCTTCCTTATTGTTTTGTTAATCGAATAAAACCTTCCTATGGAGGGGGGGGATAAAGACAGATGTAAGTGAGCTAAGTTTTGTCTTCGGCAGACGCTTCTTCCTTTATTCGTCCGAAATGAATATTCTGCGTACAGCAGTATAGCCTAATTACCAAATATTTGTATGTTGCATCTCTAATTTAGCAGCAATTGCTGTTTATCTTTCAAAATTTATTTTCTTAATTATAATTTTACAGTTTTGAGCATAATCTTGTATCTCTTTACAATTTAAAAACTCTTTGAAAAAGGTTTTTGCAATAACAGGACCCTATTTGCACAAATTCACAAAAGCAGGATCCTGGTTGAAAGAATGTGACTTAACGTTTATTTTATATTCACAAATTACGAGTAATTTTTTCACAATTTTCCAAAAACGGACCTTTTACAAAATGTCTGGACAAACCCCTGAGAACAATAATTAAAATTTATATCGAGGACTGGCAGAGAGTAACTAACACAACAAAGTTATTTTCAATTTAAACCAAAAGTAATAATCTTAAGAAATTAAAGCGGTAAGATATCATTTGTTTAAATAAAACTTCATTGGCTTCAAAATTACGACTAGACATTTTTTTTCCAGACTAAAAATAGACTTTTATTTCCATCTGTATGTTTTAAAATATAGTTTTTCAGAGAAAGATGTCATGCTTTAAAACTGCTTTAACTTACTTAATTTTTTTGTTGAAGTTGTTTGAAATTCAAAACATCTAGCTTAGTAATTTTAAAATACTGAATATTCTTTTTAATTATAAAAAAATCGAAAGTAAATGATACTGTCTGTAAAAATAATTTTTTTTTCTAAACAAAAATCTTTCAATAAGAAAAATTCAGAGCAAAATAGCATCATTTGCTTAAATAATGATGATTTTATGAATACAGAGTATGATTAAAGAATGACTGAATACTAAATAAAATCTGAGAATGATGAGTAATAAATAAAATCTATTTCTATTTTTAAAATGATGTACAATAGTGTATTTAGGTGAGTGTATATATATTTTTTATAAATGTAAAGGTTTTTGAAAAATAAATTTAGAAATTTTCTCATAAACAATATACAAAGATGTTTATGAATATACAATGAATACTTTTAGTTGCATTTTAGTTTTCTATTCTCTATAATTTCAAGCGGTAAAAAAAATTGAATAAAAACAATGTAATTGTTACAGTAGGACAAAACCTTATAATAAAATAAAATAAATAATAATTTTGGCTGTAATTGTAGCTGTGAATTCCAGTAATCATTCGAGTAATACTTTACTTATACTTTTACTTATGCAGTACTTTTACGTCAAATTCAATATTTATTAGTTTTCGAACTAATTATTGAATGACCTTTCTATGAAATCTTTCTATGAACCGTCATAATTTATTCCTAAATGTTTTAGTTTCTGCGCAGAAAAACAAATGTAACTTAAAGGCGAAGCCCTAACCAGCGAAGAGAAATTTTATTTGAAAATATTTGAGTATTCGTGTCGTATTAAATTGAAATTTTCTAATAATCAAAAATGAAGAAGAAAGAAACCGTGTAGTCTTTCAATAGAAACAAAAATTTATATTTTTCCTCTTAACAATAGTTTAAAATTCTATGTTTAAGAAATGAAAGTAAGTTAACGCATGATGTTTTTTTATTTAGCTAAATAAAAATAACAGTTATTGTTACAGTAGGGTAAAACCTTATAATTAAATAAAAGAAAGAATAATTTTGGCTGAAATTGCAGCCGTGAGTTCCAATAATCATTCGAGTAATACTTTAATGAGTTGATGAATAACAATTGTAATAAAAACAACTCATTTCTTTTTATTATTCAAAAAAGAAGAAAGCTTATGAAATAAAAATCTCCGGAGATAAATATTTTATACAGCTTATGATGCAAGAAATTTTATTTTCTGAAAAAGTCTTAAGTCAAATTATCCAAAAAATAGGGTATGGCTTCTTAAGAATGCCGAACTTACACTTAGTAGATGCCTTTGTCTGAGAGACAGGGAGCAGCCAACAGTATTTTTACATCAAATTCAATACTTATTAGTTTTAGAACTAATTATTGAATGTGAAATATATTTATTTTATTGCAATTTTTGTAAACCTTTTCATGAACCGTCATAATTTATTGCTAAATGTTTTAGTTTCTGCGCAGTAAAACAAATGTATTTTAAAGGCGAAGCCCTAACAACATATTTTCAAATTTTATTTGAAAATATTTGAATATTCGTGTCATATTAAATTGAAATCTACTAATAATCAAAAATGAAGAGGAAAGAAACCGTGTAGTCTTTCAATAAAAACATAAATTTATGTTTTTCCTCTTTAGTTTAAAATTCCATGTTTAAGAAATAAAAGTAAGTAAACGCATGATGTTTTTTTTATATAGTTAAATTTAGAGCTGATTTTAGATCTAGAGATGTTTGCTATTAAGAGATGATGGTTATTTGAGCTACGATGAGATTAGTGACTTGTTTTTGAAAAAAGAAATGCTATTTAAAAAACTAAAAACTACTATCACTTAAAAATGAAAAAAAAAGAAAACAAACGAAAACTTCTTAGATTTTAAGTAATCTTTCAAGTAAAAGAATTAAACAAACTATTAGTTTTGCTTCGTTAACTGTAGTTAAGGATTTTAATGTTTTTTAAGGATTAAAACTTAGTAAAGTTTTTTTTATTGAATTAAAAAAAAAAGCTTGAATAAAATATTTTTTGAAATGAAATGTCTTAAGGCAATGCGTATAAATGTCTCTTCAATCAATTTATAAAAGAAATTCAACAGCATAAAAAATTATATGTTTGTGTTTAATCAGTTGAAATAAAAAGGTACAGTCAGTGATTTGACTGAGGTAAAAAACGTGTTCATAAAACTAAACACAGTTAAGTTGACTGTTCGTAAATGTTTGATGATGATAATACATTTCACACTTATCCTCTTTTATACTTCCACGATCAAAAAGCATTTGCTTAAAATGAGTTGAATTATTTAATGTATTCACTACAGCAATCGAACCATTTACAGTAATTCAATTTATTGAAATATTTCACATTGAGATGGTTTATGAGAATCATTTAAGAATCGAATAATATGAAAATAGGAAATGTCGAGTTTGTTATTAATTGATATAAATGATTGAAATCTTGAAGAACTTCCTCAAAGAAAACGATTTTTTTAATCTATACTGTAATATTGAGTGAGCAAGCATTGCTGAGAAAATTATTTTATTTGCCATTTAAGATAAGAAGTATGTGTCATTTTGGAAAATATCATGTAAGCAAATTTAAAAAGTTGCCATTTTATTGTCTCAAGAAACTAACCACTTTTTGAATATTACTATTTAATCCATGAATCACATAGTAGGTTACAACCCTTCTACTATAATTTATATAAATTATCTTAAAGTTTTTTTTCTATTAAATATGATTATTGCTTTGCTTTCTAATTCTATGTATGCCCCATTAAAGAGGCACATGGAAAAGATTGAAATTTTTTTCTTAAATACCATAAAGTAAAGGAAAATTTCAATAAAAAATTCTGAAGAAACGTCAGACAAAGAAAATACTATTTAAAAAAAATGGATATTTTTTGGCTGAAAAATTAAATATTTTAAAAAAATTAAGAAGTAACAATTTTTTTCACATTTGCTTTTCCGTTTTGTTCTGTTTAGAAAGTACTTATCTTCACTTTAACTATATAGTTTAACTAACTTTTAATCGATTTTCAAGAAAAAATTTCAAACTATAGTATTTAAATGATTTCACAGGATTAGATTTACTGAATAGGATTTAAAATTTTAATTCCGTCTAACTTTAAGAGTTTGATGACATTTTTCTTTTCAAGATATTCAACAATGCACATTACGTTATTTATTTTGAATTAATCCCCTAAATTTAAATTTTAAGTTTTCTCTCAAATCGAATGATAATTTTTTATAATTTACTCTCTAACAATCCAGAGCAACCAATCTTAAGATCAACTAATTGTCCGTATCTATAAGTGTTGCTTAGAAATCATAACACAAAGTATAGTTTCATATTAATCTGTAATTTTAATGACAATCGAACATAATAGAGATAAAAGGATTTAAGTGCTGCATTGAATTAGATGGTTTCATTCAGTTTAGAAGACAATATAATCTTCGTTATAATAGGTGAACTTTAAGGGGTATAAATATTTATGCGTCATTATAATAAGAGGATACTGGTACAGAAGTTTTATTTTATACTTGATTGATAAACTTCTTGTAAAATTCCTTTTCAGCAACTAATTGTTTGTTTTAAATTTCTTTTCATATTTGTAAACGTTTAGTGTACTTTTTTAAATGTTGTTTCGGGCTAAGATAAAATAAGTCTAATAAAAGAAGATAGTGCATACATTTTTAAATTTTAGAAAACTAATAGCATAGAAATAACGAGATTATTATAGCATGGAAATTATTAAATCAAAAGCTTTGCGACGTGTTCCATTTTTTATTTCGCGCACTTTGCATTAAATAATACATGAGTAGAATTAAAAATATAATAGTAATACTTTATAAAAAACTTATAGTTTTAAGTTTTAATTATAATGTGAGATAAAAATAAAATAATACTATAATAATGGACACAAAGAAAATAATAAAATATTTTATTTACAAATACATAAGAATAATTTTAAAAGTTTATTACAATTGCTTTGTTTCTTGTTGAATCTCTTTTCCCAGTTATGAGCTTCGTAATCATTTCCGTAAAGAATTCTAAGACTTCGAGGATAGTAACAATAGACAGTCCTAGAAATAATCCCATATTTCCACCTATATTAGCGATGAGTGATTCCCACTGAAAGAAATTCCTTTTAATGGCTACAGAATGCTGAATAAACACTTTATTGAAAACAAATAAATAACAATTTACATATTTTTGGTCACAAAACAATTAATAAAGTAATTAAAAATGGAAAAAGAGAGAACTTTTAATGTGGAGCTTCAAGCCATTCAAAATCCTAAAAAATAATATACATTTGCCACAATTGTTGTTTTACAGTTAACGTGATAATCTTTCGATTCAATCTTACAGATAAATAGAGTAGTTTTGATGATTTATATCTTGCCTAAAGTTAAACTATCTAATAATGATGATATAAATCACCTAATATATTCTAAATATAAGCTTTTGATTGAATTATGTAAATTTGTTAAGGCAGTAAAATAACTATTTTAGTCCCATAAGAATTAGATAAGAAGATTATATATATATATATATATATGTTTCCTATTATGTTTATAAAAGTCTTCAGATTTTATGCTGCTAATCTGTTTTATTGTTTTAATTGAAAACTTCTGGATAAAAATGTAATTATGCTTATTCTTTATTACACAATCATTTAAATATATTGTTTGTAAGTAGCTTGACCTGTTAACTCCTTTACATTTTAAACAATTCTTAAAATTATTAAGTATTAAGTCAAGATCTTTTCCTTCTTAACTTCATTTCATAGAGATTTGTAACGGAAGTCCCTCGCATAAGAACTTGTTATTTTTATGATACAGTCATTTTGCCAATTGTTGTTTGGGTGCGTCTTAATAGCAAGAGTTTACGATTCATAAAAGCGTTATAATGACGAGGCACCTTTCTTTGTGTATTTTATGATTCATTTTATGAACTTACATAAAATGCGATTTATTCGTCTAAGCTTTCAGTGCGCCTATTAAAAATTATATTGATTCGAGAACCTTGATTATTTATATATCATTTTATAAACAGAAACAACGTTATTTTATTTGTTAAGTACAAATGAAAAAAAAAACTATTTATGATGCAATAAAAAAAGTATATCTTAATATATACTGTAAAAAATTCCGAACCAATTACGTTAAAAAAGTACCGGCACTCAGGATGCTGGCACTTTTTACCGTAAAATCCATTTTTACTGCAACATGTAACGGAACCAAAAATTGGATATACCGTAAATTTTACAGTAGCATTTATTTAGGTAGAGTGATTCATTGATTTTGCAGTAATTATTACTGTACGGTATAATATTTTGCGATAAAAATGAATTTTACGGATAATGCACCAAAAGTGCCGATACTGTGTCCCGTAGTTTGATTAATAATTTTTCACAGTTTGTTAGGTGTCCTAAACTAAGCTGACGATTTTCAAAAATTCTTAACATAAAAGCAGTTCGAAATAAAATGCAATTTATTGCAGTAAATTTATTTATTTTTTCTTAACGGCAGACACTGAACTTTCGTTCTTCGCCTAGGAAGATGCCGGAGGTGTTACTCATTTAACGTTACCCAGTGGGCACCTGTGAACCTAAGTCACGGAGGCAAGCAGCATTACCCACGCCACACTGCCACACACCCGTTTATAGGGTGGGCCACATTCACACATCACACAATAGAGAACACACACAGAAACATCCATGCCCTGAGCGGGATTCGAACCCGCAACCATTGGCTTCACAGTCAGGCACGCTGATCGCTCGGCCACCAAGCAAATTTAAGTGGTAAGAAATTAATGTTTTACTAAAGTTTCCAATTTTAGCTCAAAAATTTTCCGAAGACAATTATTTCAGAAATAAAAGAGACGTCTGTTTTTCGAATCGCAGGAATAGAAAAGAATGTTCGCTATCTATTAGGCATCGGACACTTAAAGCCTTGCGTTGAGTTACAGCCGACTGTTTCGGTTAGCGCAGTGGTCGGCAAACTTATTAGCCAAGGAGCCAAATATGAACATTACAACAATTTTTAAAAAAATTGGGAGCCAAATCTGCTTGTTTAGTAAACTTTTATTACACTAAATAAGTAGTACACTAAATAAAACTAAATTTCATACTTAATAAATATTTATTAATGCGAACAATGTGCTTGCATCTCCTTGGAAAGTTTGAGTAAGTCAGGTTTGTATGTTGTTGTTTTTAATTTTAAGCCAATTTGTACCCCCACTACTTTAGAAAAAGTATGCGCGCATGCTTGTGGTACTTTTGTATCACACCGGAGTACCTCGAAAACATACGAACAATTTCAGCCGGTAGCTTGTAGATGGTTTGTGTTTACGTTTAAGAAAAAAATTGAAATTAAATTCGATGTTCGTTACGTATTTTTACAACAATATACCTATCTATCTTTTAACTTAAACAAAAAATTATACATGTTCTCGATTTATAGAAGAAGTTTAATTTATCAAAATAAGATGTAATTTTTTTCTTACTAAGTTTTTTTTTTTAATGGAAATATTATTGCGCCTTCCGCGGATATTTGCGCCAGAGCCGCACTTAAGGAGCCGAAGAGCCACATGCGGCTCTGGAGCAGCACTTCGCCGACCACTGGGTTAGCGCATCCGTGAACCTCTTAAGCGGATGGTGAGAGGTTAAATAATTAAAACAAATTTCCAAATTGAATCCCTTTTTGACGATAATTTACAGCCATACTATCTTAAAAAGAGATAAACTAATTTAGTTATCTAATTAATGATAAACTAATTTAGATTTATCTTGATTTATTAATATACAGAACAATTCAAAATTGTTTTAAATTTGGACGCGTGAGATACTTAATTCAAATAAGATACATTAATTTTGTTACACTATGAAAAATCTGTTAACTTTACAGAAAAAAATGTCAGCTAGTGTGCCAGTATAACACCGTTTATTTCATAGAAAAATACTGTTATTTTAAAACGGACGTCTTTATCTAGCAGATAAGTATTGTTATTTTAATAAACTCCTTCATTTTTTTAAAAAAATGAACATGCTTTTAAATTAAACTTGATAAACTAAACATGCCAGCATGGTGGTTGGTGCGAGACAATAGTAGAGTTCTCTTAATCATGCAACCTCGGGATTCGAACCCGGGTCACATAATTAAGAGGCAAGTGTTCCCTCCTCTGAGACACGATAGCTCTAGTGTTTGGTAATGAAATAGTCTTTTTAACTGTCTTTATCTTAAGAGTCTTACCTATTGAAACTATACTTCGTAAAAACGTTTAAAACTATAGTGGCCCTTCCTTATAAAAAAGGTTAGCAATTACACTTTCCGAGAAAAATTATTCAGATAATAATCACTTTAATTATTCAGTAGAAAATTTAATTAATTAATTCAGTTGAAAATTTAATTATTCAAAAAAATTATTCAGTAGAAAACCAATTTAGCAGTAAAGACAAATCGTAATTTTTTCTATATGATGTTCAAAACTATAATACAATTTCTGAAAAGTTAAAACAAGTAAAAAACTTATCGTAAAATGATTTAAAAAAAACAGCACATAAGTTGTAAAACTGCAAGTTATCTTACAGTAAGTGAAACTGCAGGGCAAAAACTAGAATTTGAATTGACAGTTTTAATCTGTTTATGATTAAAGTGAAAAACAGAGAAAAACTGCTCTGTTAAAAACAACTTCAGATCGTTAAACGTTAAATATGCGTTATATATTAAATATATGTTTTTAGAAACATTAGAATTCCTAGTAATTAGTTTATTTATATTGAATTTGAAATCCTTTCTTTTATCGTATAAATCAACAAAGATATTTTTTCTTCTTTTATAATATTCAAATCCAAAAAATTAAAAACAATTTTATCTTCATGATTACGAAGCAAGATTGATTCCTCAGGGTAAATATTATTTAATAAGAATGTATGATCTTGAAAATTAAAGATAATTAAATCATCATTAAAATCTGAAAACAATTTTAATATTAAGAGTATAATTTTTATAAAAATATTAATAATAAAATAAAACATATAATAATAAAATAAATCTTACAGATTTTCTTAATTTTCTGCGTTTTTCTCTTTTTCTTTTTGTCCTTTTTGTACATTCTATACATATATTTTTTCTGTGTTCTATTTTTTACAGTGTAGAACCAAACAAAATTTTACATGGGGTAAATTTGTTATTTTTATGTAATTAATTTTTTTTCTTATCTTATGCTATTCAAAGTGTTTTAGAAATTTAAAGATAATAACTCATTTTAAGTTTAAATTATGTTAAATTTATTCTATTCATTAGCATTCATATGCAATTATTTAGCATGATAGTGAAAAGTGATTTCTTGAGAAAGTTATTCACGCTACAAATTTGCTATAACACAAGATGGCTGGTAATTAATATTTTGTTTGAGTATGTCGATAATAAAATATATTATTTTAATATTATCTGACGGACAAGGGTTTAGCCATGTTTCTAAATGTTGGTAGTTAATGAACACTTGTTTAGACGCAAAGTTTAAAATTGATTGTATATTGTTGGAAGTATGTCGCGAAATTAAAATTTGCGAAAACTTGTTTAATATTTCATTAAAGTTTTATCCAATAAATTAACTTCATAAGCCGTTTACATCAAAAATAATGCTATAAACTTGAATTTTGTTTTAAAATTGAAATTGCTTTAAAACTAAAGAAACAAATAACAACAATAGTAATTAAAATAAAAATAAAAATTAATGTTTAAAAATAATGTAGTAAACTAACATATTGTGAAAAATTGGATTTGCTTTTATATAAGAAATAAGCTCACATAATAAGAAGTAACTCTTATTTTATTCCTTATCTGGATCGTTAGATTAATGCTAACTCCTTAAATTAATAGGCAATTATAATTTTTTATTTTCACTGAAAGTTGTTTGTGAATATAGTTATTTGGCATTCATATAGTAATATATGTAATTCCATACTGCTTGATAGGAAATACTTATATTCATGTAAAAACGAATAGAAATTTAAAAAGATGGAAATACCGAAAAAATGCAACTTTTTTATCAAATGTTATATATATATATATATATATATAGCACTGAAAATTCAAAATTAACGAATGTCAACATTCATGTAGTCACATTTGCTGAATATTCTAAATATTTCTTAATTA